CTTCCCAGGGGGGATCACTGCTGCCTTCCCAGGGGAGATCCACTGCTGCCTTCCCAGGGGGGGATCATTGCTGCCTTCCCAAGGGGATCCACTGCTGCCTTCCCAAGGGGATCCACTGCTGCCTTCCCAGGGGGGGATCATTGCTGCCTTCCCAAGGGGATCCACTGTTGCCTTCCCAGGGGGGGATCATTGCTGCCTTCCCAAGGGGATCCACTGCTGTCTTCCCAGGGGAGATCCACTGCTGCCTTCCCAAGGGGATCCACTGTTGCCTTCCCAGGGGGGGATCATTGCTGCCTTCCCAAGGGGATCCACTGCTGTCTTCCCAGGGGGGATCCACTGCTGTCTTCCCAGGGGATCCACTGCTGTCTTCCCAGGGGGGATCCACTGCTGTCTTCCCAGGGGATCCACTGCTGTCTTCCCAGGGGGGGATCACTGCTGCCTTCCCAGGGGAGATCCACTGCTGCCTTCCCAGGGGGGATCCACTGCTGTCTTCCCAGGGGATCCACTGCTGCCTTCCCAGGGGAGATCCACTGCTGCCTTCCCAGGGGATCCACTGCTGTCTTCCCAGGGGGGATCACTGCTGTCTTCCCCCCCCCCACTGCTGTCTCCCAGGGGATCCGCTGCTAACTTCCCAGGGTGTCCATTATTGTCTTCCCAGGGGGGATCCACTGCGGTCTTCCCAGGGGATCCGCTCCTACCTTCCCAGTGGGACCCGCCGCTACAGGGCATAGAAGAGCCTTGGGAGCAGGTGAACACCAATCATGAAGGCTCACCGGGCTGGAACTTGATGGTGGGTCTGTGGCAGCCCAGCCTGGCCTGAGACCTCAGGTCTGGTCTCCAGGTGCCGGTTCCTGCTCTGGTCTAAAGGAAGAGGCTTCATCCACAGTGTCCAGGAGGCCTGGGCCCCCCTGCTCCGCCCCTGGGTGAGTCTCGGTGGCTGGACTGGAAGTCACCTTGAGGAAGGGCATCGTGTGACCTGGGTCCTGACCTTGAGGAGGGGCATCATGTGCCCTGGGTCATGACCTTGGGATGGGTATCATATGCTCTAGGTCACGACCTTGGGAAGGAACAATCATAGATCGGGGCTCAGGTGGGTAATGGCCCACCCTTCCTTTCCTTAAGCACAAATGTTCTCCTACCAGGACCGATGGGAAGATCCAGAAGATATGGCCCCTGTGGCACCCTCAGGTGAGCTTTCTGCTTTCTTGGCACCCACGACCTGTGCTGTGGCCTGGAACAGGAGTGTCCCTGCCACTGGACAGCTGAGACACTGAGGACATGGGCATGCCCATGCACAGGGCTCCCTGGGCGGGGGGGACGCTGGGTGGCCTCTGCCGGGGCCTTCACTGCCCATGGCTTCTGAAAGCTGCCATTGTAAGCAGATTCAAAAAGGAATCTATGGAAGAAACAGCTTTCAACCGCTCTGTGGGTCTCCAGGGGCCTATGGCTTCCCGCCTCAAAGCCCATCTGAACTTGCCAACTCTGTGCCCATGGGCAGACATCCTTTTCCCCTGAGCCTGGCCCTGGGTGTGGGGTAACGGCAGCCCCAGCCCCATTTGGGACTGCTTGGGTCTGAGGGATGCTTTGTGTCCACAGTGACCATGGTGGTCAGTTCACTGTCCTCCCTGGTGACTGGCAGAGGCTGTAAGGATGTGGCCCTCCCAGGCAAAGGGGGACTAACCTTTACTCCCTGTGGAGCCCAGACTCCACTAAGTGTGGATGGCATTCCCTGGCAGGCCGCAGGCCTCTCTCTGACCTGGACCTCTACCCTTCCCTCTCCACCAAAAGTGGCCAGCATGGAGGAAGTACCCACATGCACTCAGCATGTCCACATCACAGCCAGTGGCTGACCTGCTCCAGGAAGAAAATGGAGACAAGGTGGCAGGGGCCAGAGGCATCTCCGCCCCCTGGACACTTCCTGCCTCCCACCTCTTTCTCTTCTTGCCAGCAGTCCCAGCATGCAACACCTGTGGCCACTGCCCAACAAGAATGTGCGGAAAGCCCTGGAAGAGGGACCATTTCCTTGGTGCCCCACTCCAGCCTCGGGCCTGAGGCGTGGCGCTTCAGGCACTCCCGAGCCAGGCCCGCCCACTCTCAGGGGCAAAACCAGATCTTCCTGGCTGCCAGGCCTGTCTCTGAGCTGGGCCTCACTTTCCACTCAGGGGCCAGGGCTCAAGTCCATTCCTAACTGCCCACAGGTCCTGTCCACAGAGACCCTGACCCTGAGCCCAGAGGAGAGATCCAGCCTGAATGTGCCAGAGAGCCCGGTGAAAGCAGGGAGCCAGGTGCAGACAGGGGCCGACCGGGGGGATGGGGGGCCAGGTTTAGCTGCCCCCCTCCAGCCTGGGCAGGTGGGGCGGGCAGAGGCCACTTGTGGGCCTGGTTGACGCTCCCATTGGTCACACAGATAGGGTGGGCCCATGTCCCAGCTCTCAAGGAGCCAGCCAATCCCAGGACCTAAGGGTGCCTGTGGGTTCTCGAGCCCCCAGGAATCCGGGATGCAGAAGAGCAGCTGCGGCGACTCCAGGAAGAGAGGATGTGCAAGGTGTGCCTGGACCGTGCCGTGTCCGTTGTTTTCGTTCCCTGTGGCCACCTGGTCTGTGCTGACTGTGCCCCCAGCCTGCAGCAGTGCCCCATCTGCAGGGCCGCCATCAGCAGCTGCGTGCGCACCTTCCTGTCCTAGGCCAGGTGAGCCACCCGCTGCTCCCAGGAGCCCCTTCTCCCGCGTGCTGAGGCCAACGCCGCGGGGAAGCCAGGGCCGCTTTCCTTACGCCTCCACTCCCGGCCAACCTACTGCCTCACTGGCTTCCTGGATCCAGCACGGGGTCATGGCGGCATGCCCTGCCCGCCGCAGGGAGCCTGGGCCGCACTTCCTGCCCTGTCAAGTCATGTCCAGGAACTCCGCCAGGCCCAGGGACATTGGTTATAGAGTTATGACGCGGGGAGGGCTCTATTACTATAGAGTAGTGAAGCGGCAGGGCTGGGGCCTAGACGTGTAACCGGGGCTTTGTAGGGACCCCAAGCTTAGCGATGTGGGTGATGCCCATACTGACTAGGAGCCATTGCCTGCCTGGGGCTTTCGAAGGCCAGTGTGCTCCCCGGACCCGCCAAAGCGGCCAGTCAGGGCCTCCCTGGGTGCTGAGGCCCCAGGCTTGGCTGACGAGGAGCCGTGTACTGACACGCGCTTTGCATCTTGCAGGCACTGTGCCCCCAAGCAGGTACCAGGCCTGCCTCTACCTTTCCCCAGCTCTCGGTGCGTCTGCAAAGGATGCTGAGTGACCAGCGCCTACCGCTCACCAGTTTCAATTCCTGGACTGAAGCCTGGGGTGGAGGACCACCCCCACTTGGTGTAGAGAGTGGCTTTACTGTAGTTTTTGGATTCTTTCTGAAGATAAATAAAATAGAGGGACACCCCCACCCCAGGGGTGTCCTGTCTCTTCAAGATTCTGTGGATGTTCAGCAGGGACTAGTCTCGTGCATATCCTTGAAGAGACCCTACTTCTAATTACCCTCTAAGCCCCTGTGTCCTGGAGAAGGGTGAGTTGGAGAGCAGGGTCCTTTTTGTCTACCTAATTGTAGATACTTGAAGATTCTTCAGGACTCTGCCCAAAGTGCCAAGAAGAAAGCTTGTCCTGCTCACGGCCCCAACATTCCCTGTGCCCGGCCCTAGCAAGGATGAATAGCTTCAGTTCTGGGGAGCTGGGAGGTGGGCTTCATCTGAGAAGAGCTGTAGGTAAGGCAGCAAGAGGTATTTATTCAGAGCGGTGAAGCTTACAGCTCAAGGGGTCACAGTGGCGTACCCGGACTTGCTGGTGGGATTCCGTCTTCCCTTCTCGCTGCCCCTTGGGAGCAATTCATACCCCCGCAGCAGGGGCTCAGGCTGCAGTGCGGCTGCCCGGGGCAGGGCAGTGGAGGAGGACTCCTCAGAAACCATCCAAGCTGTGATGGGGATGAAACTCCAGCAAGGAACGGGGCTGCCATGTTCTTGTTTTCATTTTTCTTTTTCTTTTTTTTAGAAAACAGAAATCACACACTCTTTCACAGTCATCAGCCCTACACGGGCACCAGGCCAGCGTCCTGGTGGGCGTGGCAGGCACAGGTGGGCAGGAGCCTGTCTGCAGTGGCCGGGCCCCGCCTCGGTCTCAGGCCAAGGTCAGGTCTCAGGAACGGAGTCAGGGCCTCTTCACTTACGCGGGCCTGCAGGGAAGGGGGCGGTCAGAGAAGGGGGCAGGGGAAGGACCTGCCTGCTTGAGGGCTTGAAATGCTAGTGCCACAAAACCCACGAACAGATGTGTGGGTGGCCAGGGGACGTGCCCAGGGCAGGAAGGCTCTGGCCACAGCCCTCTTGGTAGAGGTTGGGTTTGGGGCTGGGAAACAGGGCTTGGGTCTTTTTGCCTACCCAGGGCCCCGCAGGTCTGTCCCAGAGTCACCAGAGCAGATACACGCAGCATGGGTTGCATGTGCCTCCGTCATCAAGCCTGGTGACTTCCTGGCCGGGGGCCTTGTGCGGCCCAGCCCCACCTGCTTTCCTCATCTCTCCTGGGAGCTGGACTCCTCCCCCTCGGATGTCCCTGGGCCAGGACGGCCTGGGCTTTCAGACTCAGGAGGGCAGCCGAGAGCCCCCGGGGCCCGGGGCAGCGGGAGCAGGTGGCATCCCTTTGCACCTCAGGGCGAATCCGACTGCACAGTGGTGTGCTGGGGGCTCGGAGCCAGGGACTCTGCCCGCCTGAGGGCTCTGGACAGCCTTTTCAGTGAGGAAAAGCAGTCTGAACTCCCCAAAGAGGAAAGCGACGCCCCACATCTGCAGGTGGCTATGGGAGCCCTCCCCCTCCCCCCGCGCCTCAGGGCCTGACTCCCACAGGCCCAGCACTGCTGGTTCCCAGGCAGGAAGCGGAGCGGAGCCCTCCAGGTGCTGTACTGTAACCCAGGGGGTGAGTGACGGACGGCTGGGTGGGCGGACGGTGCCTGCCGGCGCCCTGGAAGGGGGGACCCTGTGCTGTAAGCACCACTGACCGGCCAGGTCAGCTGTGAGCAGGCTCGGTGCGCCATACTTACAATCGTGCCTGCTTGGACAAGAGGCCGGACGGCTTTTCATTGACATGGTACAGAGGGAAAGGCTCAAATCCACCAATGAAATCAACTGAAAGAAATCAAGACCCAAATAAAACCCAAATGATGGAAAAGATGATAGCATGGAAAACAAGCCGAGGACACGTTCCCCTCTGTGTCACGGAGGGGACCAGAGGGCCCGGGGGGAGGCCGGCCAGAAGGCCCGGGGGGGCAGGTGGCAGGCAGAGAAGATGGCCTGGCCCCAGACAGGGCTGGCAGGACCATATACCAGGCCAGACTCCCTGGCTCACCCCATGACCTCCCCAACACCCCGCGTTCACCCTTGAGGCCGCTGCCTCAGGGGTGACCGCTGGCTTTGTGGGCAGAACACCCAGTCCCGGCGGTCTCAGTGCAGTGGGCAAGCAGGGCTCCTGTGGCTCCCTCCTCTGCGGCTGTCTGACGGCTGCTAGGACCCAGAGCACAGCTGCAGGAGCACCGCTGACCCCGGGAATCAAGCCCTAGCTTAGGGTCGTGTGGGCCCAACTCCCAGGGACAAACGGGCTCTGACGCTGGGGAAGGTCCTATCCACAGGAGCGGTGGGCCATCTCCCTCTGTTCCTTCTCTGCAGCAGCTTCTGGTGAGACCGCGGGACCAGAGGCCCCACGGGGTCTCCAGAGTCTTGCCATGTCGGGTTGTAAAAGTCTCAGGGGATGGGAAGGAAAGGGCCCCATGGGGCTGCCTAGTGCTGAGGCCTGAAGCGGGCACCTCTGACCAGTAGGCGGCGTGAGCTGTGCCCCTGGGCTGGTCCTTCCTCCCAGGGCAGTTGTGGGGTCTGGGGGCCTGGCTCCATCAGACAGAAGCCCCTAGGTCTGGGAGGGAGGTGGTTGCACCCTAGACCTCAGCTCTTCTCGAGTCTCTGGACCTGAGGCAGGGGTGAGGCATGGGAACAGCAGTGAGGAACTCAGGCCCCACCCCAGACGGGGACAGGACTCGGAGCTGTCACCACAGCCCAGGGGACCTGGATGTGTCACCGACAGGCTGCGGGGGAAGCGACTCACAGCTGTCTTCTTCCTCTGTAAACACACTGACCACATAGCAGCCGTAGATGAAGCCCAGGAGCTGGAAGACACGGTGGAGCAGGGGTGAGGGCTGCGGGCGAGCGAGCTGCAGTGCCAGGGAAGGGAGCCCGAGGATGGCCCCAGGCGACCCCGCCTCTCCGGGCCTCGGTCTCCCCTCTGTAACAGGAGAACTGATCTACATTGCTTCCTGAGACCCCAAGCTCCGGAAGGGATCCCTGCCCAGGTCAGCAGGAACACGTGGGCACTTGATGGTCACGCTGGCCAGACTCTTGAGCAGAGCCGTGGCGAGGCCCCCTTTCTGCACGCAGGAAGTGTGTGAGGTGGCCTATGTGGTGCCTGCCTACAGAAGCCAGGTCCTCCCGGGGCTACGAGCTCTCCCACCAGCCCTGGCACACAGCCTGTGTAAGAGCTGCACCTGCTCCTGGCCCACCGGCCAGCGGTGCGCATAGACACCGTCTCTGCTGACCATGGGGAGCCGCCCGGAGGGTGGAGCAGAAGCAGGCCGTGTGCCCCCTTTCCTGCACCCCTTCAGGCCCGGTGCTGAGCCCCAGGAGACCATGACTCTGCATACAGCCCCTCCCCTAACCAGGGAACGTTCTGGCCCAAAGATGCGATCTCTGCTCTTCTGGAGCCCCAACCAAGTCAGGATACACACATGAGATTCAACGCCAGCCAGGCAGCCCAGCGCTGGTGCTGAGCGCACACCGAGCAGGCCAGGGAGCCTGCAGACCTGCGGGCTCCTCCAGCAAGAGCCCCGAGGCTGCCAAACCCATGACCCGGCGGATGCTGCTGAAGGCCGACTCAGCACCTTCCTGATCCTTGTGTCCCCCTCTGCCTCCTGCCCCATCAAGTCTACGCCAAAAGGACCCACACTGGACAGGAATGGCAGCCCAAGCCCCAAGAGGCCAGTGGCTCCCTAAGGAGACACAGTGGGAAGGGGACATGGCCACGGCTCTGGCGCCACCCGCCTGCTGCTGTCCACTGCCCCCGGAGTGCCTGAGGGACTAAGGTGTCCAGTTCTGTCCTCTCAAACCGTGGCTCCTCAGTCCAGGGCCAGAGAGCCCCCGGCCAGGTCAGATGTGGATGAGCAGCAGCAACTCAGTGGGTCCAGGCTGGGGTTCAGGAAGCTCTGTCCACAGCTTCTGTGATCTGCACAGGTCAGGGGCAGCAGCAGGACAAGCACAGGTCGGGAAGCAGGATGCTGTCTGTCTGGGGAGTGCATGCGCCTCCTTTCTACAGCAGCAGAGCCAGAGCAGCATCTGGGCAGTCTTTTGCCCGCACCCGGCAAGCAGAACAAAGCGCTGGAAAGGGGCTTGCGCGGCCTGGGCAGTGGCTTGTGCTTCAGTCCTCCGGGGCTGGAGGCCAGGGAGGTGGCAGCAAGAATGTGCGTGCCCACGTCCTCACCTCGTACCTGAGCACGCCTCTTATTTGGGAACATAGACTCTGCAGGGTATTAAGATAAAGTTCAACAGAGCTGGGGGTGTCCTAATTCCATCCCGGCCTGTGCCTGTGGGATGTGACCAGCCTACAGAGGGGGCCTCGGCGCGTGGAAGTCCTGTGCTCAGTACCTGCTCATCAGCCTCTCCTATCACCTGCTCTTCCTGGGGAGATGAGAACTTGTGCCACCTCCCTGAGACTCTGGGAGGCCGAGGCCTGAATCTCATGAAGAGTAAACAAGGAGCCATCAGACCCATGGAGCAGCCTCAACCGGCCGGGCTGCGTCTCCACGTCCTCCACCCAGCCCTGTTGAGCACCAGAGGCTCTGGTTGTGGCTGGGTTGGAGCCCACTGGGGGGGGGGTGCTTCTTGGAGCCCACTGGCGGTCCCTTGGCCTCTTGGGATGACAAGGCCAATGTCCAACACAGAGAAAAGCTGGTCCTTCTGAGCGCAAGGAAGGACCGGAGCCTGGAGGAGTCCCAACCCCACACCCTCCCCATGCCTCCCCCTGTCCTGCTGGCTCTGACCATACTCACAGCCCCCAGGATCTGCAGACCGCTGTGCAGAGCCTCCACATAGCTGTGCTCCAGGGCGCAGAGGCCTCCCGACACCAGGGCCTGGTCAGGCCGGACCCCGAGGCCCGCCGCAGCCTTCTCCTCACGTGCACGCACACAGCCTAGCCCGTGTTCGCGCCACCAGGAGTGCTGCCGGGACAAGCTGAAGGTGAGGAGCTCACTGTCCTGAGGACGGGGTGTGGGGGGAGAGCAGGTTAGCACCGAGAGGCAGCATCACACCCCCCGCGGCCCACCCCATCCGCGGAGGCTGCAGCGACAGGGCTGCGCCTCTGTGGGAAGCGCCTGGCCCTCGCACCCCCTCTTCCAGGAAGGCCCTAGGACTTGCTCTCTGGGGCTCAGACCTCCCTCACCCCTCCTTCAAGCATTTGGCCTCCTGTCAGTCTCTCTGACTGCGCCCCAGGTGTGTGGGCCCCTCAGAGCAGTCACGATCCAGCTCCCCCTCCAGCCTTGAGCCCCAGGCAGGGAGCCAGGCACAGCCCGGGTTCCGCCCGGCTGGCACCTCCACGGCAGGGGAGCAAGGCTGCCAGGGCCCGCTGTCTGCTCGGGCAGGCCCTGCGGATGGCCAGGGCAGGGTGAGGTCTGCTCGGCCTGCACCCCGGCTCTGCCCAGCCCCCTCGGCCCCACCCACTCACACTCCTCTGCCAGGCTGGCCTCGGCCCTGCCCTCAGCCCCTCCTCCTCCCAGACGCCACCCAAGTTCCAGTCCCCCTTTCTCACAGAAAGCCCTCCTGCAGATTCCCACAGTGCCTCCCCAGCCGCTCACCGCAGCACCCGTACCAGCCAAGACAGTCCTGGTGCCGAGAACCAGGCTGTGAGCTGAGCAAGCCCCTGCCCGAGGGGAGATGCGCAGCCAGCGGGCAGCCCCACGGGGCCCCGTCCCATCCTCACTCACCTTCGACAGGCCCCCTACTTCCAGGTAGAAGCAGATGATGAAGACGTTCCAGGTGATCCAGACAGCTGCCCACACAGTGTACTAGGGAGAGGAGACAGGTGGGGGCACAGGTTGAGCCCTGGAGTGTGGGGGCGCGGTCCCCTGCAGAAGGGCCCATGAGCACCCCAGGCCTGATGGCCCCATGGTGCTTGGCTTGGAAAAGCACACTCTGAACAGGCAATAGAGTCCCTGGCAGGCTTTCCACACTGCTGCTGAGCGTAGGACTCCACCCTACCTGGGCACCCCGGCCATAGTGCACTAGGGAGCACAGGAAGGCAGGGACAGGGCGGTCCCAGTCCTGGCTAGCCTGGGATTCACAGTGAGATCCTGCTGCAGAAGGAGGTTGGGGTGGGGGGAGGAAGGAGGGAGGGACCAGGTTGTTGTGGCTAGCCTCAGCAGAGACTGTGGCCTACAGCGCTCACACAGCGAACACCTGATCCACTGCAAAAAGGACTCAGACCCGGCACAGCTGTGCGAAAGTCAGCGCACCGCGTGGGCTGGGACCCAATCATCACGGAACACTGGGCAGGTGCCGGGCGCCCCATCTGTGAGCAGAGGCCACACCCTCACCTGTCCAGCTTCTGAAGCAGTGAATATGCTAAGGGCCTGGGCACTGGATGCACACGGCTCCTCCTGGAAGCAGTCGCTGAAAAAGCGACGTGAAACTGTAACCACTCCGTATGCCACCTTTATAAAACAATTTTTAAGAAGGGAAAAAAAGGGCTGGGAAGGTGGCTCAGGGGTAGAGGGCTCGCCTTGCATGCATGAGGCCCTCAGCACCACATCAGCAGAAACAGCCAGAAGTGGCGCTGCGGTGGTAGAAAGCTAGCCTTGAGCTGAAGAGCTGAGGATCAGTGCCCGGGCCCAGAGTTCAAACCCCATGACCAATACACACGCACGCACACACGCACACACACACACACACACACACACACACACACACACACACACGAGAAAAGAAGAGGCTACAAGTTGGAATTCTAGAGGTCCAGGCAGGGAAAAGTCTGAGAGCAGGGTGTGGCTGGCCCTTGCAGTGTGCCCAGTGGCCTCTTGGACAGCAGGAGCCAGCGCTGCCCTCCTCTCGGCCAGCCCTGCAAGCCAGCAGCACCGGGGACTCACCGCCACTATGTAGCGTGGCCGGTACTGGATGGTGCCGAAGAGCCCCAAGATGACCATGACGATGTGGACAAAGTTCGCCAGGATGGGTGCCCACTGGTAGCCCAGGAAGTCAAACACCTGCCTCTCCAGGGCAGTAACCTAGAAGGAGTCATGCACGAGAGAGCTACGTTAGATGGGCCACGATTCTGACGTGGTCCTTATGCTCAGGCTGGCACTGGAATTCTTCAGACAAGACCCTTCAAGTCTACCTGGCCCACCATCGCCACTGAGGATTTCCTCCCTTGAACGCCCTCCCTCCTCTCTCCCCCTCCACTCCCCATCTGAAGAATGGTAATACCCAGTGAGGGGACCCAACAAAGAGGAAGCAGCGACTCCACAAGCCGTTCAGGCCCTGTGGGGCTCGTACGGGGTGCTGGCCAACAGCGGCCGGAGCCTCACTGAGTCCTGGGGGAATGAACAGCTCCCGTTTGCCAGCTCGGAGGAGCTCTGGGGATAGCAGGGGCTAAGACAGCTCTTGTCCTGGCACGGCTGGCCTCTCCTCCGCTCTGGGACAGCTCTGGACCCTGGCCCTTCAGGCCAGCAGAGAGTGACCAATAGGAAGGAAGGGATGACACGCAACCATTCTTGGGGGAACCCCGTTTCTTGGAGGAAGCCAGCTGAAAAGAGCATTCACCCCTGACCCACACACCACCCACCCACACCCCTCTTTGCAGGGCTCCACACACCACGCACCCCGCACCCCTCCTTCAACCCACGTGCAGGTGTAGACCAAACCCATGGCATCCCAGCACTTCCCCGAAGCCAGGGCGGCTGTGGTCAGGAAAGGAAGGAGCATCTGAGAAGGCCTGGAGAGGCCCAGCCACATCCTGGGAGACAGTGCACTGAGCGAGAAGCAGCCTGAGGCTGAGCCAGGGCTGAGTGCCCCAGATGCCACTGGGTGTCCAGCATCCGCGCGGGGAGGCGTCCCCACACTAGATGTCCTAGAGGGCAGCTGGGTGAAGGGCAGCCTCCCACCCCCACAGGGCGGGACAGGCTGCGGCTCCGTCCCACCCTGGGCCAGCTGGCCACCAGGCTTCGTCCTTCCTCTGCCTGGCCCCTCCTCGCTGCTCGGGGCCTCGTCCTGGAGCCTCTGCAGGTCCGCAGGAAACAGCTGTGGTGGGCATTCCCTCGGGGCTGCCCTGTCTCAGGAGGGGCCCACCCCACACTTCCCTTTAGGGAGGTAGCCATGGCGAGGCCTGCTGGTGGGAGGCAGGAGCAGAGGGGCCACCAGCACCAGGAACTGTCCAGGGGCATCCGTCTTCCCTGACGCCCTTACCCACCTCAGAACACCCCTACCCACCGCCCACCCCCACTGAGCCCCCCCCAGCGCCCATACCTGTTACCCCCACAGCACCAAGGTCCACACCCACTTGCTGGCCCCACGTAGGGGCTGTTCTGCATCTTGTAGCTGTCTGCACCTAGAGGGTCTCTACGTACCAGGTTCCTATCACTAGAGACACGCCCTGGTCTCCAGGGAGAGATGTCCCTGAGCACAAGGGGAACCCCTGAATTGTAGTGGCTGGGCAGTTCCTTACAGGGCCATTCTCAGGACCCAGAGTCAGCTGGTCAGCTGGCCGTTTGGCCCAGCCTCCTGTTCCTGCCAAGCTGACTGAACACAACAAGGAGAGAGAGGGATGCAAGAGGTTCATGGGGTACCAGCTCCCCACTGTGCACCAGCTGCCAGGCTATGATGCTGTCCACAGAAGCTGCTGACTGCTCCAGGCTGCAGCTCGAGCCCAGCCCCCTCCTCACAGATGCCTAGAGTGAGGCCTGAACCGAGGACGCGGGCTGCCGTCTCCGGCAGCAGGGCAGATCTACACAGGAGCGCTTCCCAGGCTGCGGGACAGATCTACACAGGAG